GCCAGCTCTCTGATCATCTGATCAGATAGTAGGCAGGTTCCAGTCACTAAAAGAGCAGAAGAGCAACCTGGTAAAAAAATATTAAAATTATTTGTTGCTGGGTTACAGGAGTTTAACATGATCCTCTTGTGAATAAATGAGCAGGACTGACACAGAGAAGGGGGAGAATCACATGCTTAGAGGGGAACCTTGGGAAGAGAGGGAGCAGAGAGGGTCCCTCCTCCCCTCTCAACAGTGGCAAGCTGTTTACTTGGCTCAGTCAGAACAGGGAGCCGCGTTCATATATATGTCCCTTGTGAACTGTGTTTCTGTATTACATAAATGCTACATTTTTTAGGTTACACTAATCAAAAAACTTCTATATGGTCTTCTAGTTTACAATATGCCAGCACTTCAGTCAGATGATGCCTTTCTGTGAGGAAAATAACCAGATGAGGTTAAAGGATGCATGGAAAAACTGAGGATGTGAATTCTGCTAAAGTTCTAGATGGCATGTTTCTACATTTAACTCAAAGGAAGGAGCGGAGGTGGTATAAAGAGCATGGCTTATCTGGAGATTTTTTTGGGAGTCACTCAGGGGAAATTTGGTAAGAGCTAGCTATCTCCTCCACCAACAAACCTTTGAGGCTGATGTTGAATATTTCCAACATCAATGATGGAAATTTTGGGCCTGATCATCCTGGAAAGTTAGTGTATAATGAGGAAGGAATGAATTATTTTCTGGCTACTAGGCTATCTGACATTACTGTATCCAAAGGGCAACAGGTTCATACAGGTGCTGCATGTCCTATGAGCATGGCTCACCAGAGGCAACCTGAACATTTGTATTAGATAGTTGATGAAGGGTCACCTTTTGGATCCTCTGTACCAGCTATTACTAGCAAACCTTATTTTGCTAACAGGTGAAGAAGGAAGGAAGGCCTTTTTGTTAGTGAATGTCTTTGATTTCATAGCTCACAAAGCTTTCACCGTGCAGACATTGTAAAATTGACAGTTTCTTTCTAGATCAATATACATAGGTATATTTCATTTAATCTAGAAAGGCAGATGAGTTCAAAGCTGGTTTTAGGATCCTGGTGAGAAATGAAGTACTGTGAAAGATGGTCTAGTCAAAAAGTGAGTGCAAAGACACAGAAGTCAGATTTATAAATAAATAAATCAGACTTGAAGGTGATGCTGTATTCTGCAATCCTTATAAGAGTCTGGAATAGCTCTGGACCACCTTATTTTGTTTGTTTATTTATTTAAGCAGAATTGCAGCACTCTGGTGAAATGCAGATGTTTCCAGTATCTAGGCATCCTTTTGTGGCAAGGGAAATGTAAGTATTAACAGCTAATTTATCTATTTTTTTTCACTGACCATATATTGGAAGAATCCCTTCAAGTTTCTTTCTTAGATGGGAATTCAACAGATGGAACAAATTTCACAACAAGCACAACAACCACTCAGGTGGTGCAGCACATTTTACCTGACAAGTCAAAACTGTAAGACATGCTAAGTGGCCGCATTGCTGTAAAAAAAGAAACAAACACAACAAAAAAAGAAAATGATTCAGCTCTTAGAAAAGCAGAGGGATAACAAAAACAAAATATTAACTCCACTTGAGACATTTTGGACTCTCTTGCTTAAATCCAAAATGTGTCAGACATACTGCTGCTTTACTGTAGCAAAGCTCAAAGTCTGAAACTACAGTAGTATAAACGGGACTTGCAAACAGAACAATTATATTACTAGTAAATTAAGATTTTTGGAATTCAATAAATCAAATATCAAAACAAGAGACAAATATCTAAAAAATTTAATATTTTAAAATAAAATCACCATGAAAGAGAAACAAGAAAAAGGGAGAGGGAGAGAGAGAGGAGAGAAAGAGCTGGAAAAAAAATTGAAAGCACAAAGCCACATTTCACACAAGTTTCAGTGACCTGAAATAAAGATATTTCTAATTTTTTTAAGCATAATCTCCAATGATTATAATTAAACTAATAAAGAGAGACACTCATGCTAAGCTTGAGCAGTAGTTTCCTTGAAGAGAATGGAAAAAAGTCCAAACAAAATCTGATTTGCACTGATTCCGGGTATTTTTAAAAACCTTAGGTGCACTTAGCCTTTAAAATGCATCTGTAATATTATTCTCTTCTTCCTGACCCTCTGATGATTGTATTGTTAGATAAGAAAGTGGCCAGATGTTCTTCATTTCTGGAAAGACCTATCTATATTTCCAATTAAACAGTGTATTCAGGGAGCAGACCCTCAAAATATTCTTCAACTGAAAAGAAAATTTCAGTGCGCTAATCCAGATAAGCAGGCCAAGCCCAGTGACAAGAATGTGCAAAAATGCATCAAAATTGAAATTAGCTTATGTGTCTTACTTGACAGGTGATCAACTTGCAAGCTGGTAGGAAGAGCCTGTCAGACACACACAACACTGCCTTAAAAGATGTTTATTAAAAGGTTGTACTGGGACAAGTTTTGCTCATGAGAATAATTTAAGTGGTGCATGCAGTAGGTGGCTGACTCAGAGCTAAATTTGGGAGTCAGGGAATTTTTTCTGTATTCATTAACTAGAAATTATCCATAGATAATAGCTACAGAAACAGTATCTAAATTTCTGTCCAAACTTAGCATAAAGCACATACTTCTTAAAGCAGAAGGGGGTTTATCACCTGATGCTGAGACATTGATAAAACCTGCACAGGAAACAAAGTTTTCTCCAACCCCCATTAGCTCCACTTGCTTGAGTCACAAATCCACACTTTAATTAAAAGGACATGTGCCTCAAGGCTGCACTTAGGCTGATGATTTTATGAGGTCATTTGAAAGCTCACTCCAACTCCTCTACTCAAACCTCTCCCTTTGTGAACACAGTTCAACCCCATTTCCAAAGAAGTTTAGACTGAGGCTGGCCAGGGTAGAGAGGATCTTACCTGTACCATGTGTTGTGTAGAGAGAGGGACAAAGCCTGTGGCTGCTGGGAACACATGCCATAGGTACAGCCTTATCACAAAAGAAGAGCTGCAGGAGTACAGCCCCTGCTCACCCCAACAGCCAAGTGCTTTTATGGTCTTGACTGTATAAACTGAGCAAAATCGAGTAGCTCTGGGACATGTGAAACACACCTTATGCTCCTGAATACTGTAACGTGCTATTTTTTTTCTCCTTTTTAATAGCAACAAATAGTTCTGTCCAGATGGTACAAGTGTCCCACATGGTGTTTCTACTTAGATTTAAAATCCTTAAACCTCATTACCTTACATGTTGCTACACTAAATTACATTCAGTGGTCATCTAAACTGTATGGCAGATCTATTTATGCCATACTGAATGCCACTAACATTACTCTGCTCCCAAACTGCACAAGCACATTCTTTTTTAAAAGGAACTTTAGGCATAATAATAATAATTCCAATTGTGAGAAAGAATGCCAATGTCCTCATAAGTCATTGGTCTTTTTAGTTCTTCATGCCAGCAGCTAACATATACTTGGAAAAAAGCTTGCATGTATCCATTTTTATACTTCCATTAAAGTGGCATTAAATCCAGTCAATTCACTGGACTTAAGAGGAATTATCCCAGTTCTAAACCACAAAAATTTAATGCTTTAGCAAAAAGGGAAGAATAAGTGAAAGACAGGTATCCCTCATTGGAGGCAATGCCTTGAAATCAGTCCAGAAGTCCTAAGCAGTAGTGGTTCAAAATTTAAGATCCATTTTAGAAGCTGTTTACTAACTGGGTTTGTTGTAATTCATATCAGTTAGAAATTGTGAAGATTTATTAGGTCAGGTTTGCTGCCCCTGAGATGACATGGTAGTTCCCAGATGGAGAACATTTAAAACATTGAAACTGAATGTTTGAAAGAAAAGTAAGGAGTTGTTCCACATTTCTACAAACTTCCTACATTTGGAAAAAAGTCTAAACCTGTGAGAAATGTTAATTGATACAGCAAATACAAACTGAATCCAAAGCAGAAACTGGAAGGCCCAAAAAACCAATATTCAAAGCATTCTTTTACAAATGCACCCAAGCATTCCCTAAACTCCATCAAGCACTTCAAAACAATGCAACAAAGCAAGACTGATGAAATTGTTTTTCTCCAGAGACAATGGGTTGTCACAACACACTTGCATCTGGACCAATGCCTTTGGGCACATGTGCAAGTACAAATATCTTTCAAAAAGCAGTGATAGAGAGTACATACGTGGATTTTTGACAGTTTTCAGCCATAAGATTCCATATTTGTTCCTTAAAAATTCAGCTACTTGAGTTTTTCTGATATAGATAAATACAGAACTCTTAAAGCAATCTAGGTCACTATGTAGGACTGTATTTGTCATGCTTTTGCCATCAGAATCACTGAACTAATGCAAACTGGTGACTGCTGCATTGCATAGTATTTGCATCATTTCTTAGTGGTTTGCTGAAAATACACTGCAGAAATGAAAAGCTTTGCAGTGCAAGCCTGGATTATTTTCCCATAAAAACACCTACAAACACATTTTGCATAACTTGGAAAAGGAAGCAAAGATTTAGGTACAACATAAAAGCAACAGATTCAGTAAACAAAATAAAAGCCAATTTTAGATTAAAATAAAGAAGTTGATGATGCTAACAACGGGAAACAAAGAGAATCAATTAATTAAAAACCAACACGTAAAGAATACTTGCAGATAGTCAATGTATACTGCACTAGAGAATAGGAATACCTGTCCCACTCTCAGCAAACCTAACATAAACTGTCAGGTGCAACAAGCAATACAATAACATTCCATTTATCTAATACACTAAAAACTTGAATGGAATCAAGCTGAAATATTCCATTTCATATTTTAAAATATAACTAAGCACAAAGATTGCACAATCCTAGAGAAGCCTGTAGATTCTTTTTCTGAAGGAGTAATTTTATCTTTGGTGACATCTGCACAGATGTGGCTAAAATTGCTGCTTCTTATGTGGGAAGTTTTCTGTGGATGCTGCAGGTAAAAACTGGCCACGTGCTTACCCAGCCTGCTACGCCTTATCTCGTCAGGGGACACTGGACGTAACTTCCTCTCTGCCTTGATCTCCTCCAGGATCCTTTCATGGAGGCTGCGGGGCCGTGGTGGGGTTGGTTTCAGTTTCCTTGCTGAGGCCTTGGGATACAGAGACAATCGTATCTACATTAAAAAGTGCATCCTTGAAAGTAGATTTCACACTTTTTTTTGAGAAAAATGTGGAATGCTGTGATATGATTTTACATATACTCAATTTCAAATGCAAACATAAATTGAAAGAGGGTTTTATGCAGCATGGTTTCCTAGAGATAAAGGGCTGCTGGCAATAATAGCTGTTAATTGGTACGTGCATCATATTACACACTGTTCTTTTAAGGGATCCTGTTCTATGTACAGAAGACAAATAATTTTTGAAGAAAAATACTTTTGAAAGCCCTGGCAGAAAATATTATGTCTACATATCTGCTGGAACCAAACATGCTTTAAAAAGCCACTCTTTTGTTAGGAATGAAGCCCACCGGATTACATACAGGATTTAATGGAGGTCGCGATCGGATGAAATCCAGGATTATTTCATGGGCACTCTTTTTTAATCGTGGAGGGATGTCACCATTGACCTGGAAAGGAGAAAGTGAGATATATATTGCTGTGTTTCACATTTGTATTCATGCAGATGAGATCAACTGAAAACTCACAACAACCTTGACAGAGCTGCAGTGTTCTGACACCTGCACCAGACATAAAACCCCACCAGTCCTGAGTGGAGCAACATTCCATATGCAGAACACAGGCAAAAAAAGTACTTAGCAGCTTTTCAGCTTTGCTGATGGCAGCAAAATAACTCCAATTGCAGCAGCTTTAAGCAGCAGTATTTAGGATTTTGAAGTAATGAAATCAAACGTCAAGGCTGCAATTGTGTCTATGGGAGAAGTCTCCTTGCTGTAAAACACATATTTCTGTAGAAGAGGGGCTGGGTGAGGGTTGTTTGCTTTTTTTGTTTGGTTTTCTCCAAAGACACAGACATTTAGATGTAAGATCATATATAAGACATCACAGGGAAGTCACCAATTCACTACATGTACAGAATTTAAAGAAGGCAATGGAAGTTTTCATATCATATGAAGAATGTATAAATTGAAAGCTGGGAATAAGTGTATGGATTTGCTTAAAAAAAAACCAGCTGTCAGGTTCAGTCTTCACAGAGCACAGTGCCCAAGTATGCTGTCAGGGATAAGAGATCATCCTATGTCATATATATCCTTCTGCTACCTCCTCTTACTACACAGTAGCTGGCTATCAGCCCTGTCCTCCAATTTGACAGAAATTTCCATGACCCTGTATTGCTTAGACCAAGGATTCCATATTTCAGACTTCTTTTTTCTTTTTTAAGGATCAGGTGGTTTTTTGTGTTGTTTTGTTTTTTTTTTTTTTTTTTTTTTTTTTTTTTTTTTTTTTTTTTTTTTTTTTTTTTTTTTTTTTTTTTTTTTTTTTTTTTGTGGTGGGACTCTATTCATACAAACTCTGTAGCCAGAAAACCTATGTAAATACATGTATGTCTGGTTTGCCAAATAACATGCCTTTTGCTAACCAGAAGGACTGCTGCCATTACAAAAAGCAGTTTAAATGTCCATAAGGTCACCTGAATATGATCCCTAACTGAACTTCACCAATACCATGCAGCTTCCATACAAGCTCTGCTCACCTCAGGAATGCCCTGTGTCCAGGCTGAGGCTGAGTGCAGCCTCCTGGAGAAGACTCATCCCTTTCCCTCTAAGAAATTAGATGCAGAGTCCCTCCTGGGGAGCATTTAATTGCTTTCCCGAGGACTCTTTCTGGAGATATCCTACCCCAGACATGGTCCAAACTCTATTTGTTCCACCCTCCTTAGTTTCCTAAGAGTGAATTTCATGTTGCTTGGCAAAGAACACTAAGCTGCTAAACTCTGCAACATGCATCATCTTCTTAAAAATAGTGCAGAAAAATTAAAATGGAAAAGGTTTATACTAAACCATGATTTGACATTTCCTGATGAGGAGAATACTATTTTAAGGGATGTGATTGATTTCTTCTGTTCAAAAACTGAGCAGTTTTTTGAGGCCAGCATGCCCTGGAAGATTGTTAATGAAATGAGAAGTCTCTCTTCCCTGAGCTACTGTTCATCAGATGTCAAAGTTGATAGCTGAAGCTGAGAATTATTACCATCAGAACGGCCGTTTTGTAAACTGATAATCTCTGTTTGAGCCTTGGGGAACAACCCTCTGCATGACAATAACCAATAAATAATACATGGCTCTGAGCCTTTCACCTCAGGGCACTCTAGACCCTGACTTAATGCCACCAGAGTATAATTAGTATCAGTATTACCATCTGATTGGAAAAAGAGAAATGTAGGATTTGCTTAAGTGATTTTCCACAGGATACATCGGGAGCTGGTGGCCCAGCAAAAGGATGTTCTGCAGCCAACAAGCCAAGAGCAAGAACATCAGTGGCAGAACCCACCTTCTCCTACTTGCTGCCCAAACAACATACTGACATGAAAGATACTGAAGGGAAAGTTTTATCTTCTCTCTCTGTTCAGACTAGATTTATTTATTTACTCAAACTGACTTTCTCTGTAGTGAGCAACTTCAAATGCATCCTTTACTTAATTAAAATTCATGGCTCCTGATTAAAGTCTCAATCAGAGACATTGCACAGATGCAGCCATGATACACAGGCTACAGGGGAAAAAACAACCAAGGAAAATGTTTAACGTTTTTTTTCTCACCACATACCAGGCTGGCCCCAACTACAAACCAGTATTTGAATAAATACCTCAAAACACTGTAAAACTATCCTGTCTTCATGCTTGTAAAACAGATTCTATACAGCAGTATGCATTAAAACTGGCAGTGTGAAGAATGCTTAACCAATTACTGTAAAAATCAAACATAAATGTAGAGATCTAAACACCTAATGCACAGAAAAATTAGCATGTCATTATCTACCAGCAACCTGTTAACATCACATTTTAATATATAAATATGGATTTGAAATTTAAAAAATAATGGAAAATGGTACTTAGTTACTTTTGGCTGAAGCCCAAAGCTTTAAAAGTGGTGATCCCTAACAAGAAGTACATTGCTGATAACTTTCACAAAAAATAACATCACCTGTCATTGACACTCAATTACCTTAGCCATTTATTTGTCCTGCTATGAAAGGTGTCAGCAATAAGTAGGAGAGTGCTGTCTTTAAATAATAGTCAACAGGAAACTGATATTGTTTTGTACTACCTAGAAATTTTCATTTAAAAGGAAATTCCGTGGACACTGAGACAGAGGGGACACACTACATCATTTCCAGAATAGCTCATGATAAAGTTCAGTGGTGAATTAAATTACTGTAAGTAGGTATCTATTTATCATCTTGTTTTATGCAGACAGTAAAATATTTTAGTTAACATAGCTATTACACAGTATTTTGACACCCCACAGCAAGCTCAAGCAGCAATGTTCAAGAATGAAGTGCTCTGGTATTTCCCATCATGAGGCACTGCACTCACACTGCTGTTCCTGCACACCTATTGCAGAAACAAGTTTATGACAGCACATGGTAACCACAGTTCTCACACAGAGCCTCTCCTCTGAATACCCCTAAAGCTCGATTAGGAATTGTAAAGCTCCCTGCTCTACCTAGGATAACTCCTACACTTTTGTAGAAACATGTGATGAAGGTAAAATGAAAAGCACACTTTCCCTGCTTCACAGGGGAACACAGTTCACCACAACCAAGTTAGACTCGTGTGTAAGGGAACAACAGACTCTACAATGTCCAGCTGGATAAAGTGGTCAAAGTCATTTGCACAGCAAAGCTCACATTCTCTATGTCCTGCTTGAAGCATATGAAATCATGCTTATGAAAATACTGTCCATGCACAGTTCTTACTGCAATTAATAAGATGCTAAATACTGCAAGGAAGTAAATTTTTAAAAAACCACCCCAAAACCAAAAAAAAAACATGCTGAAGGATTCTCAATTAGGCATTGAAATTACTGGATATTTTTGATAATAATGGCTTCAACATGTAAGTTGAAATTCCCCTTCTGCATCATGGCCAAGCCAATACCATTGCATGACAGGTACTTGTAAAGAGCTCAAATATCACAAGAGTGCTTTTATCAACAAAGAGTGTAACTGTTATGTAACATAGTGCTGAGTTTGGATAGGGCATAAAAGTACCTGACAGGCAGGTATTAAGTAGGTAACACAAGAGATATCAGTTACTGTTCAATAAGCACTCCTCAAGAAATACAGTGAATGGTGCATATCTTGGAGGGGGATGGAGATGGATAGAAAGCAGAGCTAATTGTGAAGCACTCTAAAATTAAAAACTGCAGCTGAACACATACAAATAATAAAGAAAAATTAAGCCTGCAAGAGTAATTTAATTCTTAAATTTCTCCATTTCCAGATGTTGACTCTACCAGTGACCGCAGTCTTTAGCTTTTGTGGGAGTGGATGCTCCATGGGTGAGGAAAGCTATTAAATCTCTCAAAGGTAGATATTTAAAGTTTATAAAATTCCAGAATGAAAGCTATCTTGCTCCCACAGCAATTGCAGCAACGAGGACTCTTGCCTCAGGATAGAAAGATGACAAATCGGAAATTATTTTCAGATGTACTGAAATAGAAATGCCAACGTCACTGAAACGAATGAAACCAGTTATTTACCAAAAACTCAGAATCTGACATTTCACATATTCAAAACATTTTGAATATTTGCACTATAACAATGGGTGAGAACAGGAAGCTCCAGTTACTGCTGTCTGTTAGCACAACAGTCTGAAACACTAAAATATGGCCTAACAGGAACATCTGTTCCTTCTTTAATTTCTACTCAGAACACTGAGTAGTCAGTGGCAGATCAAGCTACTCTTTTAAACACAGCATCACATTGATAAAAAGAACAGTAAAGATTTCATGTTGCATTTCATTTACTTTAAAAAATTACTTACTACTTTGAAAATTTACTCAACCTCTTGGTATCATTAGTAGGATACATGTCCTCACAAGCTACCTAGTCTAAAACTACTACTCATAAATTTAAAGCAAAAATTACTTTTAATACAAATTTTGCTGAATGTACATTTTGAATGATAGAGAAACATAATCCATCTTTCCTAGACTGCCTTAAAATTCAGATTTGGGATCTTCATCCTTTTTTCCTCTTCTCAAGAACCACAAGGGTTTCCTCTGGTGGGAATCCATACAATCAGCTTCAACATGTGATAGCCAGTTAGAAGATGCTGTATCTATGCAATCTAACTAAACTTGTAATTCAGTGTAAATCCTTCAGGTTCCACATGTTCCATATCAAGCTGCACTCTTATTGAACGTGCTTTGCACAATCTTCAAGCAGACCCTGCAGCAGAATCCAAGTTACTGAGTTTAAGGTTTCCAGTAAGAAAGAAGTGATTTTTCTAACACAGTGTCATTAGCAGTTGTCAGACTAAGCCAGCAATTGCATCACAGACAGCCCTACAGGTACTGTACCTGCAGCTGATTGCAATCATATTTACTCCCAGAGTTCACTTTGGACAATCTATCTAGAAGACAAGATAGCAGGCCAAAAATAGATGCTTCCAGGGATTTTGTACAGAGTCTGGATAAGCAGAGCAGCAGCTGTGCCCCCAAGATGTACCACATAATGAAGGAAATCTCTTCTGAAGAGGCAGGAGCTTGCTTAGCAGCAGATGAATTAAAAGCTAGTCTGACAAAAGCAAAATTAGACGACCCAGGGGTTCCCATTCAAACAAAACTACTATTCTGATTGCCTACAGTAATTGAGGTCCTGAGGGGACTGGTCCTCTCTTGCAGAGGGTAGAAGGAACACTTAGCATAGTTCTCTGAATTAGGGGAAAGACAGATAATATCATTACTTGAGTATGTATTTTACCCTATTGATTTAATATTTAAGCAACATCTGCAACAGAAAATAAATACAATCGGATAGTCTAAATCCAGATCTCGATTAGGAAAGTATTTTCAGCTCAAACATTAAAAGCATTTATACTACACACATTCTGCCTCTCTCATCTGTCTCCCTCACCCCACACATTCTCCTCTGAATTTTTTTTTGTGGAATCACAGCTCTCTCGCTGTATCTGTAAATGCATTTGAATACTGAATATTCTAAGACAATGTTTCCATTGTAACTAATGACCAAGGTGAAGATAATTAAGTGTAAGGTATAAATATTGATAATGACCAAACACGTGCCTCTGACAAAGGGATTTACAATGTCCTACTAGGGACAAGACACCCTTTAGATCAGTTGCTAGATGATCAAGAAGAACATACTGTTATAAAAAATAAAACCAAAAGGATAGAAAGAACAGGGAGACACCAGTAAGTATCAAATGGGTTCTGATAGAAAGGGTGCTTCAAGTTGATTTTATAACCACCTTTATGAGGATTTAGGGGGAGGAGACCCAAGAACATATCCAACTTGCTGTGGCATATTGTCTTGACTTGAAAGCAACAAGAGAATATGCTGAAAACAACTGAGCTCAACTTCTACAAATGGAAGATTTATTCCTTTTTTTTACATAGACTATTCCTTGAAAATTCATAATAGATCATGGTGATGTAAGTTTTCAAACACTGTGATGGGGCAGTTTTCAACCACTGTAGGTTTTCCTTTCTCATCACAGTATCATTCATGGTAACACTTTACATGCTGGAACTCCAAAAACTATGCTGTAGCTCAAGATAAATGTACTTTCCAATCAGAAAAGTCTACAACAATCTGTCAGTGGAAACCATGACAGGACTTCTGAGATGACTCTTAAAGTTATCACAAACCCCACACAAGTGATTTGCTCAAGCTTATGATAGGTAGGCATGTCTTTCAGAATTTTAAATGCCTGCCACATGGAAAACAAAGTAAACTACATGTGTTAGTTTCATGCTCTCTCCCTCAATGCACTGCACAAATTTATGATGCCATATAAACCCCATGAACATTAGTATCTATATGAAATAATAATTTCAAGATTCTCACAAGAAAAAAAGAAGACAAAAAGAAGATTAAAATAGGAAAATAACATTTCAGATTTGACAAACTCCAGTTATCCTCTAGACTTACCATGACCTTCCTTAAGGTATAGCGTTTGGATCTAATATCATCCATCAGCATCTCATAGGGTGTGAGCTGATATTCTATGGGGAGTGGGTTGTACTGACGCTCCTGAACTTTCTTAAGTTTAACACCATTCCGTAAATCTCTCATCACCTGCACCCAAAAACGGGCCTGAAGACAAAAGAGACAGAAATTTTACTTCATACCTTACATCACATAAACCAAAGTTTCTTTCCAGTACACCACCAAATTTTTACAGATCTACTATTTTATTTTTAGCACATCAACCAAATTCCATTTTATTCTATATAAACTTATTTATAACACTCGTGAATATAACAAAACTTTGTTGCAACTCAGCAGGACTGCTGGGTGTCACATACAGTACAGAAAGAGGATCTGAAATTCTTATACCTCACATCTAAATTCCCAATTCATGTATACTGCAAGCACATAATGAAAGTTTTTACACTTATAGCTAAAACTATGTGAATTAAAACATTGTTTGAATCTGAAACATTTCTACCCAGGACTCTCCTGTAAAATTTCCCCAAAAGTTGTTCTTCAAATAGAAATTTTGGAATGGACTCCCAAGTCCTAAGGTCTTGCAATAGAAAAACTCAACTCCTTTTGCTCTGCCTGTAGAGCACCATGCACTAACACCTCTGTCTCATTTTCTGTGAAGCAAAATGGCTGGAGAGAAGAAAGAACAGGGGGTGGATAGAAGATTGAGAAATTAAAATCAAGTACTTTTTAAGAACCTCGTAATATTTCTCCATGAACTGGCAAGAACAGTACCTAGAAAAGAAATTATGTTACTTCCTGCTTAAGAGTTTCCCTGCAGCCTTTTTCTTTTATCACTGGAAAAATTCAGCTGGTGGCTCTGTTTACTGCCTGACTGCCCCTCTGAAGGGCAGTCAGCATAGTACCTGTCTAAATGCCCAGTCTTTAAACTGCAAAAGCTTCTCCATAAAAACAGCCTAAGGAAAAATATTGCTTGGATACTTGCATTCTTTCATCTGTCTGCAAAGGAAAGTTGAGACTTCATTTAGTTCTAACTTGTAGTGGGTTACTATTAATTCATATATTAAAAAAAACAGAGACTGATTTGAACACAGTATCATAGAATGCTTTGGGTAGAAAATACCTTGAAACTCATCTAGTTCCAACCCCCCTGCACTGGGCAGGGACATCTTTCACTGGACTAGGTTGCTTAAACCTGTTCCTGTGCCTCACCACTCTCATTGTAAAGAATTTTTCCTAATATCCAATCTAAATCTCAGTTTAAAGCCATTCCATCTTGTCCTGTCACTAAATGTCCTTATAAAAAGTCCCTCTCCATCTCTCTCACAGGCTTCCTTTAGGTACTGGAAGGTGCTCTATGGTCCCCCTGGAGCATTCTCTTCTGCAGGCTGAACAACCCCAGCTCCATCAGCCTGTTTCCATAGGAGAGGTGCTTCAGCCCTCTGAGCATCTTTTTGGCCTCCTCTGGACTCACTACAACAGGTCCACATCCTTCTTATATTGGGAGCTGCACAGATGGACACTATTTCAGGTGGGATCTCATGAGGGCAGAGGTAATAATGCCTTAGTTAAGCTTTATAAAAAAAAATAAACTACTAGTAGTGATGCTGAATCATGATTCTATTGTCTTACCCAGTCAGCATTTTTCAGTTCATCAAGATCCGTGCTGGATTCATCACTTGCCTCTTTGTCCATTTCCTGAATCTTCTTCAGGTTCTGCCAATGAAAAGGAAATGAGTCAATAAATGAACAGTTGCATTAACTTTCAAGTAAAACTGAAGCTTAATTTTTAGTACCTTGTATCATATGGTTTGGGTATTCTACTGAATATTTTATGACTTGAATAGCAGTACTGTAAAAGTAACTTGAAACACTATTTGAATATATTTCTCTTCCTTGGAAAGCTAACCTTAAATGCTGGGAACAAATGTTAAGTTTTGAGTATGAAAGTACTTCAGATATGCTGGAGGAAAAACTAGACATTGAAATGTTTATACCCCTAAGTGTTTATATGCATAGAATAAAAACCTTAACCAGGTCTGCTAAACTACAACACAGAAAATATTACCAGCTTGATAAGGATCCATTCATACCAAAATTAATGTTTGTTGAATTCAAGGGAGCTCATTTTTGTAGAAGGAGAAACAAACTATGAGAAACATTGAATAGTGACAGAATTGCATATATATATATATATATATATATATATATAACAATTAATTAGTCTGTATAACATGGGTGTAGATTCTGAAATATCCATAATAAAATCATGTAAGGAAGAGAAACAGATCTTTCAAAGATGAAAACTGCTACTTATGAACAAGATTAGGTCATGCAAATATGGAAAAGATGGTGTGCAAAGGGACAAAAAAAAAGCTTTCATATCAACAGGAATATGAAAAACAATTAAAAGTTACAGCAGATCAAAGAACAGGCAAGCTTGAACACAGAAGGCTGTGGCTTTACACGAATTTTCTTATATGCATCAACACCGGTATATTCAAATGACTTTTTTGTTTGTTTGTTTACTTCTGTATTGCAATATTTTGGAATCAGCAATGCAAGCAATTTCTCAGTAATCTACTTCACTTTTACAGTGAGTTTTCCAGGAAATCTTTAACAATATTTAATTTGATCTGTTTTCTAAGTGCTCACTAATACATCTGAAATAGATATTTAGCTTCTCTGCTAACTACTTTTTTTATTTTCTGAGACTAAAGCAACAGGTCAGAGATCTGACAGACATATCTACCAAAAGTATTTCTATCTTTTAAGCACTTAAGACTTTCGTTTAATGGAATTAAACAATCAGTCTCAATTCAGCTTCTGAGCTTTCCAGAAAAAATAAAAATAAGCATACTCTTTAAAACTTTTTTTTCCCTGGAAGCAGTTCCTAAACTGCCAACATTTCAGTGGAAGAAATGGAAGCACTGGAAGAATACTTAACTTGCACATTCAAAAGTGCAAGCATCTACCAAACCTGGCTGCAGAGATAGGACATATGAGTCAGTTACCACAGAGGTTTTGGAAAGAGACCAGATGGGTTCTTTATTGTCTTATTTATATGAGTAACACAATTGCTTTAGTATCAAAGAAGAAATACTACCATTGCCCTATCAAAATAAAATACATAATTTACAAGAAGACTCCAAAAAAGCATAAATCACCCACACTAACAAAAGCAGATACATCATGGGACAATGTGGGAACATTTTAGCATGACTTGCAGCATCACAACAGGATACCCAAAGGGGAAAGAATGGCTTTATGGAAACTTCTGCTGGTCCTGGTGCTGCAGCCAGCCTGACACTTACAGCCAATTGCCCTATCCAAGGGAAAAACAGAAAAATTGAAAGAATGGCTAACATAAAGGCCTTGCTTATGTGCATTGTGCTATCCAGAGCTGCTTCTTTTCTGTATCATACAGTACAGTATAAACAGTATACAGTACCTATAAACTGTAAATTACTTTCTTTCTTGCAAACTGCTAGCATCTACTGGTAAACTGCAAAATATTACACCTGATAGTTTTTCCTTTATCTCTTTGTAATCAAAACGATAACTTCAGGAAACGGGCTCACAATGTGATATCTGCTCCTCCTTCCCATACTGGAATGTACACTTTAATTTTTTTTTAAATTAACATGTTCCAGCTGCTTAACCTATACTTCAGTATTCAACATGACTGGTGACAATCACCCATCTCAGCAACCGTGTTCCCTACCATAGGGTTTACGGGGTTGGTTTATGCCCAAAGGCTGATGCTTATGACTGACATAAATATTTCATGAAGCTGGAAGAGATTACAACCTGTTTTTCTTAACAGCTGAAAATCAGAAGGGATAAAAAACCCACCCTGAGCAGCTGAAAGATCTTCCAAATAAGGCAACCATCTAATTAGTTTCTCTGGAACATAGCTAGAGGGGCAGTTCCTACCCAAGAAAGCACAGGTGTAAGTGATGGTGGCTACCATGCACCAGAGAGCTGCAGGAGCAAAACCTGCCAGCCAAGAGATGAAGTGTCTCCAAGTGCAGTTTTATGATACAAATGAGCTGGTATAAACACAGGCTGCTGCCAAAGCTGGGCTTCTTTTAATCCCTATCCCTGTGCTGAGTGCTTGGCTGTGGCCCTGGTACCACAGGCACCTACTTTATAGGAATAGTTCATTCCCTTCCCTTCCCTGGCACCTGGCTCTGGCACTTAAATGCTGCTCACCACGCAATTATTGGACAAGAGTAGAAGATAAAGAAACTTCCATCTTTACAGAACTAACAAAGCTTTGGAAGAAACCAGCAAGCACTCTATGCTTGCAGGAAGTGTTTAGGAAGGCTTCTATAACTCTTCTACACCTGTCAGGTGCTGCTTGGGAAGGAATAAATTCACTGTGATAAATGATTATGTTTAAACTTCTAGACTAAACGGAACATTAGGGTTTCCCTCCAGCATCCCCAGCCAGCATCAGTGGGTTTCTGCCTCTGTTTCAACTGTAAATTATAGAAACCAATACACTTAAAATACAATAGACCCTTTGTCAGAATTCAACTGTGGTCCAAAACCTGCAAATAACCTCAGCTGCTTCTGGTGTAGCCACTTGCACTTACCCTTGGGACAATGGCTTAAGAAAAGCTATTACAATATAATAAATACATGGCCTAAATGGATTTCCATTTCAGAAAGCAGAAAAATCTTAAAAGGGTTTTTCTAAATGATCCCAGAACCTCAGACCCAATTCACCCATTACAGCCTGCGCATTTGTTCAGGCAAAAAGCGTTGGACGTGTAGGAAATTACTGTTTCAAGAGCTTTAGCACTTTTTTTAAACCTTTACAGCAATTGATCATTTTTTAGAAGACTGCATTTTGTGACAAAAGCTAGTAATAAAAATATCAAACGTCTTCAAACCTCTTGCTGTACTATTAAAAGCAGGGCCTTGATTTGCTGCTGCTGTGTGCCCCACATTTGAGATGTGCTCTTCTGTGCTCAGTGACAGATGGGATTTATATAAGACTCTTGTCAGCACAGTGTCAAAGACTCTCTTCCATAAAATGCTTTCTAAAACATGATGCTTTAATGTGGTATTCTAGGGAATCCAGACCTGGACCTAGACTTTCACCGATTGCAGATCACAGTCTACTGCAGTTCCCAGTTTATACTTTTAATTAGGAGTCACTTGTTCACTGATTAAATTGATTCTTACACTGCTATCTGTGAAACTAATAAAACATTCTGGCACATCTAGGGTCAATTTTAAGATACACAACATGCATATATAGGAAAAACTTTATACACATCCAGCTATTTAACATCAGTTTAAATTTCAAGGGCTTAGGCAGCAGCATTACTCTAGGTCCTTGAAAAGACCCCAAACTAATTTAATTCAAACTGGGAACAAGATCAGGTAAATCAGTTCCTGAAAACCTCAAGCTGATAGCAGACGAAGTTCTTCATGTATAGAGGTATGGGCTGATGCACTTTGCTCAGCTCTGAAGAGGGCAATAGTCACCATGCTGCTCAACATGACTGTGTAAGAGGCAAAAAAACCCAAACCAAGGGCACGTAACACTGATTGAGTGACAGTGTCTGCACCACTTAAGAAAATAAAACCAAACTCTCCCCTGCCCAACACAAACCAGCAGCATTTTCCTTACATTGAGAGATGAGAGATCATGATGGAGCTGCAAGCCTGACAATAACACAGCTGCAAAAGTGGAGTCACTGAAGATTTGGAAGTGTAGGCAAAAGTGAAGTTAGGAACTGAAAAGTTTGTGAACTAATTAATTTCTCCAGCTGTGATCTCTGAAAGTCCAAGCAGCAGACTATTTGACAACTTTTACAGTCACAAGACTTTTGAGAGTAACTGGACTAATGACTCTATTTCCAAAATAAGTTAGCCATTAACATTGTTGAGGTACCTATTAACTACCTCCATTATCATATTTTGTACAAATAATACAGCAGTATAGCCACCTGACTTTTTCATTAGCTCCTTTCCAACTGAATCTTTGTGTGGCATGAAACTAGGAAAAAAAGAAAGGAACAATTTCATTTCTACCCATGTACTTAATTAGAATTTGTATGTTTACATTTCATGCAGATCAGATTGAAAGATATCCAGGAAGACTGAAAGAATTATGTTTTTACATCAGAAAGGAAGAAAATGAAAGGCAACATGTTTTAAAAGAACAGTACAAAGATGACAGATTGGGAGCTTTCTCTATGTTCTACCAAAAGCCTAATTACAAGGCCCACTGTGGATAATGAAATTATGGATGAGTTTTTGATGAGCATGGATTTTCACTGCAATTAGAGATGTAGGCAATTATAAAAATATACAAAGTCTTAATTAGTTTTGGAAGGAATATTAATTTTGATGCTCTAGGGTGTATATCAATCTCTAAAACTTTTTGAGATGTAAGTCAAACCTACAGCAACAGATCTGCCTACTGGACCCTTATCTCATATTCTATGCTGGCCAGCATCACATGATGTTTTTTAGCACCACCTGTGCCAGTCGAGGAGTTTATCACCCACAGGTTTACATCCCACATGCCAGTATCACCTTTATTGGTACCACTCACAGAGTCACAAAGTGTTTGAGGGTGGAAGGGAGCTCTGGCAGTCAGCTGGTCCAACGCCCCTGCTAAAGCAGGGCCACCCAGAGCCAGTTGTTCAGCATCTTGTCCAGGCAGCTTTTGAATACCTCCAAGAACAGAGAATCCACAGCCTCCCCAGAAAACCTTTGTCAGTCTCAGTCACCCTCACAGTAAAAACAGTATTTCTGGCTGTTCAGAGGAACCTTCTGTGTTTTAGTTTGTGTCTACTGCCTACAGTCCTGTCACTGGGCACCATTCGAAAGAGCCTGATGCTGTCCTCTTCACATTTCCCCTCAGGTATTTGGAGACATTGATGAGATCCCCCTGAGCCTTCTCATTTCCAGACTGAACAGCCCAGGGTCTCTCTGCTTTTCCTCACAGGAGAAATGTTTCAGTTCTTCATCATATTCCTGGCCCTTCTCTGGACTCTCTCCATTATGTCAATGTCTCTCCTGCACTGGGGAGCCCAGGACTGGACCCAGCACTCCAGCTGTGGCCTCACCAGTGCTGAGCAGAGGTGAAGGAACACCTCCCTCAACCTGCTGGCAATATTCCTCCTAATGCAGCCTGGGACACCATAAGGCTTCTTTGCAGCAAGGGCACATTGGTGGCTCGCTCAGCCATGAAGTGCACATGGAACACTAACTCCAGAAGAAGGCAAGACCAGGCAGTAACAGGGAGCAAGAGGAGGACTAGGGCAGATATCCCTTCAAAAAAGTAGGTTCACAATGTGGATACAAGCCTGGTGAATCCCCTGCCTGATCCAGAGCACCAATATTGCATTCCTTTGCTTGCATAGTTTCTCCCTGTCTCTCTCAGTCACACTCGATGCCATTTCTGAGCATTTTCTGAGACACTTCACAGCAGGAACATTTGCTTTATCTCATGCACACCACTTACTTCTGCCTACAGTTCTGTCTATGGCCAGATGCCACCAAAGGTTATGTCAATGACTTTTGGACGATCCTGAAAAAGATGAATCTTTTCTTTTACAGGGGTTAATTTTTAGCAGATATTCAAACTGCCTTGTCCCCTGCCATACATGTGTGCATTTCCTTCACCTTGTGGACCATTGCCCCCCCAAAACATCTTAAAACAAAACAAAACAAAACAAAATAAAACAAAAAAAAAAAAGAGAGAGAGAGAGAGAATCCCTTTCTGTGGGATTTTCTTATTGCAATTTTGAAAGCTCACTTTTTGACATGAAAAGCAAGCTGTACTCTATCTTTAACATCAGCTGTAAAAGCTTAAATAGCAGGTGACAAGAATTAGGAACTCTTGGCCCATCAGAAGACCACTCCTGGATAGCAGCAGATGGTACCCAGGGTGGGTCTGCAGCAAGAGCACCTTTCACAGAGCCTAAGGAGCATGCAGGTGCTGCCAGCAAGCTGAAAAACACCCAGTAAACTTGCTAAAAAAACTTCACCTTGCAAAAACAAAATTTTTAGTTGTATACTTTTTAAAACTATTTCATTAGCACTGTGACATCTTTCTCAACTCGGTCCATCCTGCGCATCCACTCTATGAAACATTTCACACTTTTCAAGAATGGAAGCATCATCTCCCGTCTGCAAGTCAATTTTATGGCTGACCTTTCATACACGGGGAATCAGGAAATAATCATATGGCATCAATTATGTGACAAAGTGCCTTAGACATTCTATTTGACATCCATTGAGATGATCTGAACAGTTCACTCATCACTTCATCATCTCTGATTAATACACTCAGCCAAATTCATATCAGTACAACCCTTTGTGAATCTATGCTCTATTTATTATATGACAGATGATGACTGGGGAACACGTGACTCCTCAGAATACACCAGTATTAAAACATATTACAACCTATAGACCTATCCCTCCTACCTACCAATCTATCCCTCTTGAAATCCTGGACTTTCAAAGTTTTTATAGGGCCAAATTGAAAACAGCATCATGGCAATATTTTTCCCTGATTCTTTCACAGTTTATTTCCCATCTAAACCTGTTCTAGGCTGCAGCATAATATAGGTCAGATTTAGTTCATTCCATGCATGTGAATTTTTACAAATAAAAATTGTTCCTCTTCCACTACAGTGAAGCTGCCTATTTAAGCATTTATTGACCAAAAAATATGAACATCATATACCTGGGAATTAGATACTCAGGCGCCATTCAGTGGCCCTAGAAGAAATCCAAGTAATTGCAAAGTAATTTTTATCCATAGGAAAGTTATTTTAAATAATTTCAGAGGATTCTTTCCCCTTTTTGGTGTTTTTAATTTCATTTTGATCTCACATCTACAACTGCATCTAGGTCTGAGAGAATCTAAAGGAAGACCTCCAAATTAGGCTGTCATTTTTTGAAACAAACTAACAATTAAAAATTCCTGGCATCTTTAGTGTCAAACCCACAATATTACACAGTGTAATTTTTTTTTTAAATTGGAACTTATGTATGTAAATTGATTATTTTCCCCCAGTTCTCTGCCAATGCAATCACCAAAAATCCATGACAACAAAATTTCCTTACTGAAGAACTGAGTGTTTCTCTCTTTCATACCCATTTACTTATAAGACAACAACAAAAGGAAAAGAAAAATGGAATTTACTAGGAGAAGATTTAACTGTACTCCTCATGACTTAAGATTCTGCTATATATTTGCAAGACAGAAGAGCATGTAAACAATAGCACAGCTTTTACTGGCACAAACCTAACATGATCATATGATCCTTGCTTGCCTCAAGTATAAACTATAAAGGTCATTTTGAAATGGTGCAACAAGATTTACAGCATTCCACCTCATATTTTCTTCATACCTATTTTTTATTTTGTACACTGTTTTATTTTCAAAATTAAATACCTTCCAAATCTATAGTTAGATAAAAGCTACAACCAAGGATCAAGCACATCATAAATCCAAAGTATTCAGGTTCCAAAAGATGCTTCCAAGATAATTTTCCTGGTAAATTTCTTACATGCTTACTGGGCTGAGGGACTGATCCAGAAATCAAAAACGAAATCAAAAGGTCAAAATTCTGGCCCTGGTTAGATACAGCAATAAAAGTCTTACTGATTCAGTAGGGCCAAAATTCCATCCACATGGATGGAATTTCCTTTGACCTAAATGTGCTTTGAATCAATGCCTAATAGTCTGTGAGAGGCAAATGGTTTCTTTCATTTGGGATTAACTCATAGTATTCTCTATGGTCTGATCAGATGTTGTTGGGTTTTTATGCCCAATGATAAGGTGATTAAATAATTTGCAAATTCAAAATGCCTTTCCACTTTTTAAAATAATTTAAAAAATATTATTGTTAAGACAATATTTTAAATGGTTATAGCCCACAATATTTGATTTTGACATTGACAACAAAGATGCCCTATTACTTCTCACTGTGGCCAAGGTGTTTGAGAACTATTGGAAATATAATTCCTCTCTGAGCAGAAAGAAGAACTCTGAAGAGTATTCTCTTTGAGCCTCAAAGTGGATTTTGCAACAGCTCTTGAGTAAGGTGTTTCCAACACGGGTCCCTCAGTTAATATATCCAATAGTTAAAAGCCAAGATGTGAAATTAATGATGTCAGGGTTTAGAAGACAGCTTTAGCATGGAGATCTTGTATCCTGACTGCTCCCTGTATCAGAGGCACTGGATGCAGATGTCCCATAACACAAGCACTTAGAAAACAAGTGGCTCTTTAGCCATGCTGACATTGTAAAAATTATCTTTGTATGACACTGCTTCAGTTTAAAAATTGCTTTCAGTTTGAATAGGACTGGAGAAGTGGAAATTATATGTGATCCTGTGCAGCAGGAAAACACCTCATAAGGTTTCTCCCTCTCAGATGATGCATCTCACTCAGGAAGGAAAGAGCAGCTGCCCCTTATATCTCTGACTCGTTTGCATCTTCCACCATCAGCGGGATAAAAGCTCTCTTGTGCTGCTCTGAGGCTCATCTGACCCTTTAATGAGCTGATTCAGCTCATTAACCTGACTAGGAGTCACTCCTTTATTTTTTGTTTTGCTTGATATTTACTGCATTTGTTCCCTAGAACCAGAAGAAGGAAAGCTGTGGGAGTACGTGTGAGTGGGTGGAACAGCTCTGCCTTTTCAGCAGCAAAATTTTTAGGTCAGTCTGTAAAATCTTATCCTGCTTTTCAAAGGTACTGTAGATCTTGACTTACAAAAGAAAAGAAAATCCTTCAGGGATTTATTAAGAAAAAAAAAATTATGAAAGCATTACTACTTGACAAGCTTGCTGTGGTGAAGAAACCAGATTTGAGAAATCAGTTTCCCTTTCTGCCCTTCCCTTCAGCCACCAGTTTTCCAATGTTACCAGCACACCCAGAGTGTTTTAACACAATTGTTCACAAGGCCACTCTGCAGGCCAGATCACTGAAACTATCTGTAGTAAATATCATCCTTAAAATCACTCTTCAGCGAGACCCGTTAATTGCAATGGTTCACAGGATGGCCTTTCAGCCAACAATAACAGCCAAACACGCAATGAACATAAGCATTGTGACCTGAAGGGGAAATTTTTTCTATTTTTAAAGTTGGCTCTGCTGTGAAACCAATGTGACAGACAACAAACCAATCATACAGCAAAAGTAAGAGAAGCTGATAACTGGGGACAAAATATGAGCAAGAAGAATCTCAGATAATTCTCAGCAAAGAATTCCCTCATGGGAAGGAGCTGAGGAAGAATAGGCAAAGCTCTGATACCTCATAACATCCCCGAAACACCAGAGAAGAGTTTAGAATCAAATACATTGCATACACACATGCAGGAATGGCTACATGTATTCAGTATGTTACCCTCCAAGAAAATCCTATGTTTTACTCCCCAATAGACTAGTCACAATTAATAACAAATTCTGAGGAATGTAAATGGTTACAGGCCAAAATAAAAAAAAAAAAACCACCTCAGCTGAAGAAGTGTACTCCCTGAAAACTACAGATCATCTCCTCAAGCATCTGACATTTTCTAATGGCTGGGTACAGAAGCGATTTTGTAAGCCAAATTCACATGGAGATGAGCTCAAAAGCAGAAAACCTTCTCAGACTGCTTACCTCTTTTGCACTTTTAATTTTGGCCAGGAAAGTGTAGAGCTCCATTGTTTCAGCAAACAGAGCCCGACACACTGCTTGGTAGTGGTTGGGTGCCTCTGATCGGGTTGGCAGGTGGGCAGCACACAGCTAGGGAGAAAAACAAATAAATAACAAAGGGTCAAAACAGTGTCCCATTGCTTTCATTAATGCTACAGAACATGAGATAACACGTACGTGAATGCAACCAAATACCAAGGGCACAAGCATCTGTGAGACATTTCAGTTTAGTCAGGAATTGGGGTGTATTTTCTTAATCTTCTGTTCCTATTTGTTTCATGAGAAGAGTACTATAGGAAAGGTAAGGGAACTGGTAGGCCATGTTCTGGAAAACCAAGACACCTTTTCATAACAAAAAAAAATGGGGGACAACATAATTCAACGTAATTGTCATAATTGTGAAAACAAGCCATCTTGCAGTAGCAAATTTTGGGAAAATATACCTAATTCAAACCAGCTTTAACAGTAAGTGTTAAGAATTCCTATGAACGTGGAAGAGAACTGTATCCCTACCAGTTTTTGAAAGGATGGAAGGTGAAGCAAGGAAAAAAGTACAGTGAAGTCATCAAGCTGAAACCGAACAGATTTATTTCAAGCAGCACAAAGATTTTAAAAGTCAATGAGATCAATGGAAGCACAGGCTTATTGCTTTACCTCAGACATTCATGAACATTTCCAAACATAGGCACAGCTAATGCAAAGGAACCCTACAGGTGTTTCCATATAGGCTAAACTTGCATAACTCTGAAAACCTACTCAAATCACTAATACTTATTCACAATTACTGATGAACAGTCAGTCTAGCACTGTTTTTAGAGTAAAACATGCAGCTCCCGTTTACACCAAGAGAAGTTTCACTGAAACCAGCCTTTACATTTCAAACTGAGAACCTGAATGGTTTGAGTGACATCCAGCTTCATGAACATATCATATTCATGGAAATATTGGCTGAAAAGAGACAGAATAAAATAACATCTGTAATTTTTTTCCTAAACACTTTTAAATTTAAAAAATTCCAAAGCTGAAACTTGAGTATTCATATCATGTGTCATACTGGTGTAGATGTAAAAATAAAACCAAGTCTTAATCAAGGCCTTAAAATTGGTCCTGTTTCTGCAGTTTTTTAGTAATTATTTTTAATATATATAGCTACATTCAGATCTCCAGAACTAAAGCTTGAGACAAAAGCCTCTTTAGCAGAAGAGCCCTTAATTAGCCTGGTGGCATACTTGTCTAAATCTCTCCTGTTATTACAGTGAACACTGTGGTAACAAGGGGCACGATGCACGTAGAGCTCAGGCTGCTTTTCCATATTGCTCTCCATTTGATTTAAATCCATAGTGCCACTAAAAGGTATGGTCCTGTGGCCTCCAGCTGTACAAATCCACAGATACCCTTATGCTGGCACGGGAGTTTGTGCCCTAACTCTGACAGGATTACTCACCCAGACAAAAATTAACAACGTGAAGGAAGTGGAGCAGGAGAAAATTACTCTTTATGGCATGGACACACTCACAGAAGTGAAAGCAAAAAGGAGCAAGGAGAATGTGCTGCCAGGGTGGGAAAAGGGAGGAAGGGCTGAACAATTGTGTTTGGGCACAGTCAGATTTAGACTGCCTCGATCTCATTGACAAGTTGCTCTCTGAGGCCATAGGCCCCTTGCTATCTTTTATTTCTTCCCATTAGAATAACAATACAGAGCTCAGTGGTCAGATTTGGTCAACTCCTTTGACAAACTTTTACAAGCACAATTTGGACTCCTGCAATACCCTGTTCTGATCATGTACCCCTATGTATTTATCTTTTTTACTTGTAAAAAAGAGTATACATACAGAAAGTTTACATATACGTGTGTGTATATTTTCATTCCTTCCTATATATTTTCCTTCCATATAGGAAATGCAAGGCAGCCATGTTCATGAAATTGCCCTTGATCTCTACACTTCAAATTTTATGCTGTTTTACAGTGGATGGCCAAAATTTTCTTAGACTCTTCAAACTTATTTCTGGATAATCACAAGGACAGAGTTGACATGTCTTCCTTTTTCTCCCAATCCCCCCACTCCCCCTGCTTTTTTTCCTCCTATTTTTCTCCTTTTCTTTTTTTTTTTAACAAATCGGATCATCTCCTTTGCAGATAAAGGGAGAAAAATCAAAACAGATGCATGCTTAATGTGTGCCATAATGATAACATATACAAAAAATATAGAATCTACTGAACATTTCCCTTAATGAAAATATTAGAACATTAGACCAGTTCTGTGTACGGCTGTGTTCCTCTTCTCAATAATGAATCATGTCCTTACTTGCCTTACTATGTTTTCATTTTCTGGTTATTAATTATAGCACAGATAAAAGAGTTTCATTCTAAAATACACTACTTACAAGAATAAAAATAATAGCAACAGCAATTTTGAAAAAAGTCATAAAATGGTGTAAGTCTTCATAGCTGAGAATAAAATTTTATTATTATACAGACTGCACACAGGTTTTTAAGAATCTTTTCTTTATTCAGAGGCATGCTAATTAGAAACAATTTGCATCAAATATTGAGAAAGTTAATGAAATGCAGCAGTGACAAGCTCAAGCAGAGAATGGTTGTAATATTGATTCTATTACTGAACACAAAGTAAAGAAAAAAAAAAGGAGCCTCCTGCTGAACCTAAGTTACAAAAGCAATCACCTAAAACCTGACCATTTGCTTTGCAAACATTAGGCTGCAGGTATTAAAAGAGGGCCAGCAGCTCCTACTAACTTTACTAACTTTCATGTTCTGAGAAATCAGTCTCTGAGTGATCTTATATTATGTGAAGATGTATTACATAATAAAACTCCTTGTGGTAATATTCAGTCAAACGACTCAACATTAATTTTTTGGATTAGGGAAGGTAAGCCTGAAGAAAAAGGAAAATGTAAATAGGACAGGCTGATTTTTTTCCTCCTTCATTGTAATATATTGTACTTGCACATTGGTTCAGAATGCCTGACAAGCTGTAACTTCTGCATGAAAAAATACCACAAAATCTAGGCAGGCAAGGCAAATCGAGTATGAAATGTCACTTCTAGCCTGAGTTCAGCATCTTTATCCACTTTAAAAAATTTAAAATCTTAAGGTTTATGGTAGTAGTCTTTGAAAATCTATTTTACTGTAACACATAACAAAAATCCCAGTCAGTATGTTTTAATAACTGAGATATGAAAGGACAGGCACCTAATAAACTCTTCCTCTTACCATGTCATAGTGGTAGTAGTGCAAGAAGGATTAAGATCATATATTCAGTCTTTTCCAGTCATTTTGAGGTTGTATGCTTATTCTGACACTTGCCTTTTCATCCCTCATGATACAACTTAAAACTACCCTAAAGGGGAATGAACTCGAACAGTGCCCAGAGCTTAATACAAGGGCTGTTTGTTCTGCTTCCAAGAAGTCTCAAAAAGTATGGCTCAAAACAGATTATGTGGTCTTTGCAAACTGGTGAGATAATAAAAATATTAACAACTACTGAAACATTAACTAGTCTGTAAATATTTCCATTTGCAGTCATTGTGAAGAGCTGGGATTTCTGAGTTTTTTTCTAACTGAGCCTATGCAAAACCCCAGCTTGACCCAAAGCATTCAATCTTTGCTTGATCACTAAGAAGATTAGAGGCTGTTTCCATCCACATTCAGGGTTCACAGGAAAAAAAGGCATTATGTAAATATCATAGCCTTGCCAGCTCCTCCAACTTCATCTTTAGTTGACTAGGAAACAGGGTGCACCAAGCCAAAGCAGTGCTAACAGGAATCACAATTTAACCATCTGAAGAGATCAAACAGCATTTCTTGCATTTGTTTGAATATATGCCAGCAAGGCCTCCATAAAGTTACAAAAAATACAACTGACTCAACCACTAAAATGCAGCTAAGTTTTGCAAAATAGTTTTGGCTAGATATATACTGGGAGCTTCATCAAAACACCTGGGCTGCTGGAATTAAGATTTCAGAAGACAAAAAGCATTTCCACTTGTAATTATCTTGGGCACAGGGCTGGTATGAATGTACCACAAAGACGAAAAGGATTTCTTTTTCCCATGGGCCACAAAGACAGGCCATTGATATTATGCAAAACATATTACCAGCCTGAAAATGCCAGGCTTGTTAAGTGTTTTGAAAGCCTTGGAGTATTAACAAAGACTTAAAAGATGTACTTTTTCTTAAGCAACAAGAAGAAATTACTTTAACCAACAGATCATTGAACATGCAAGTGTCCTAGGTATTTGCCTCATCCTTTGCAGTATGGTCACAAAATAAAACTCAGCTTGAAATGCCTTTTCAAGTCAAGGCTATTTTCTGAAAGATTTTATCTCCATGAAGATAAACTAGAGTTTATGATTAGGCTCTTGTTTTCATATATATCCTTCTTCCTATGAATGTAAAGGAGCCACATGCCTTACCAGAGAAATCTTACCAAGACACTACATTTGTAAATGTACTTATATATTTATACTTAAATATGTATACTTTACAGCATATTCGCAAAACTCAACCAAACATTCTGCTTTGCTTTATTATCCAGAATAATGCTGAGAGAGGGCTGTTCACAGGAATAAGTGTTTTGTCACGAGTTTGTAAGATGTTTCTGCCTGCTAGGACCACCCCTGTGTGTAGTACCCACAACTTAGGCACAGTACGAGTTTTGAGGTGGCTTTCACAACACCTGGAGCCATTTCACCTGCTTCCCAACACTTCAGAGCTGCTCTCAGAAACATTCCAGGCAGAGATTTGCCCCTGGCTCTCCTACTTGTAACTGCAGTGGGCCAAAGACTGTCTGATCCTTCTGCTAAGGATTCTAGGGGAATACTACTGAGGAAAGACTGCAGTGAGACAAAAGGGATAGGAGCAGAGTTAGCTATTAATCCACAAAATAAATTAACAGAAAATACAGAAAGCATTCACAGAGAGTTACTCTTCACCTACAAAAGTTTGTTAACTTTTTAATTGATATTTTAAATTATCTTTTGCAAGTGCCATGGAATGTCCAATTACTTGACGTGTGACCTCCCAGTTAATTTTGCATGCCTCAAGGAAAAGGCAGGTTTTGTGGAAACTG